GGAATGCCCCCCCCCATCCGCAGTTCTGAATCTGTGTGGCCGTATCTACTGTAACATTGTGTAAGCGGCTCATGGCAGGGAATTTTAGGCCTTGTAAGGCAAGGCTCTAGGTCGTGGAAAGGGTACCTGTTCCCGAGTCTATGGAACTGAGCGCAAGACCAGGTGTATTACGAGGGGCTTCTATTCCCGTGTCCTACCCATTTTATCCCCGGTACGAATTTAAGACAAAGCCCACGAACAGAAGGAGTTACTGGCACCAAACACTGTCAGCTGCTTCTGGACGGATTCTGAACAAATTCGGCTAACACTAAACAGGCGCGGGAATTCTTCGAAGTGTGGTACTCTAATGTGGACAGCAGAAACAGGCGTGTTGACTTTGACGTTCACTACGAGGCCATTCGATCAAGGTGGACCGATTGGGGTCCACCTTAACAATAACAGCTCTTAGTGCATGAATGGACATGCTGACCTTCATCTGTACGCTATCACCTCCTACTCCCAACCCCTCCCCTGCCCACGACATAGTGAGTCACACCTGAGACTCCATTCACCTCAGCTCACGTCTGACAGTCACCACAACACGCTGCGCACATCCCCCTCGCAAGTTCGTCTGTACTTCTCTCTGTCTGCGTCCTTAAATAACAGTGTAAAAAATGTACCTCTCAGTTTTCATTTCGTCTGATGACAAGCAAGTGATACATGCTTGAGAATTTACGAGTAAATCCCTTCTTTCCGACGAGCTTTCCCTTTTAATCATATAACCTCAGAATGCATACCACTTCTGCTATTCATCATATATATATGCAACTTGCTATAAATTTTCTGAAACACCAGGAGCCAATTGACGAACAGCAGTAAACATGTTTGGTACCACAAAATCCTACTACAGTTTCTGTTTGTTTTACCTTCATCTCATGAAGGTCGCGTAAGAGATTTGGTCAGACGTAAAACGCTAAACCTCTGCCGGGACCGTCAGTAACGCATGTTCAGTCGAAAGTCAGCCTGGAATCATCAAACAAACTAGAATTGCGTTCGTGGCTGTGATGAGATCACGGAAGATGCCCACAGGGGGTGGCGCCTTTCTAGTGCGGCGTTTCATCACTCCTGACACCATCGAGATTATAAGTCGATATAGGGATAATACGCCAGAGTAATTACAAGAAGCACGGCTATCAACGGACCTATCAGGCGATCGCACATCGAGTGTTTACGGAGCTTTACACCACTGACCGTTCGACCGTAATTACTGGCAGTGTGCACCGTGCCCCAGATCAAGGTAGGCGCGAGGACGGTGGCTCGAACGCGAATCGGTTTATAGTTTTAGTAGACTTTTGCACTCTCCTCATTCACTCACTTGGCGCTGTGTCGTGGTAGTTTCAAAAAAACAGGAGGCGAGATCGGGCTCAATGGATGATAAAGCCAAACAGCCCACCCGTGCGCACCTAAATAAGTAGGTGCGACTCGGGTCTTGACTGAATACGAGTGCTACAGCGGCTACATCACGCAAGAGACTTTGCAGCCGTACTTTCTGTCCTGAGAGGAGGACCGAGTTAGTTGGCAGCCCTCCAAGCGACGGCTTTTAAGGCACCATGCTAGACTAAAGCACGTCAGGTTGTTTGTAGTGGAGGATGCATGCTGTGAAAGTCGACCTCGCTGTTTCCTCTCGTAAAATCCAGTCCACTCTCCGAGCAGGTCAAT